TCACTTACTTACAACTCCATCATTTTTCAAAATAAGATTATTTTAGGTTAAACCTCGTTAACTTTAAAATGCATTCCCTGGAGGAATGCTAAACGTTTAGTTTCCAAAAGCATTTTCCAGATGTCAAAAAAAGAAACTGTTGTGATCTGCCTTTCAAGTGTCATCAACCTACCTGTCAGGCTGGACCAGTCTGATTAAAAAGCTAGAAGATGCACAGCAACTTTACTCAAACCTCACACACGCGCACACATGCATATACACACGTATAGGTGATGTTGGGGCTGGAACCAAGACGCATGAAACGAAGATTGGATCTGAATACAGCTGCGTGAAAGCCAAGAGGAGAATAATTAGGGCGATGAAAAGGTTTTCTGTGCTGGGCCACGGTGTGTCAGCTGCTCTGAATGTCTGGAATCTCAAAACAATGACAGAAGGAAGGAGTGGAAGTGTTTGAGGGGTGTGATAAAACTCACACAGGGGAGGGACGCCTGATGAGCCACAGCTCCTGACAGCTTACAAGTGACTCTTTAACCTGAGACAAAGCTGTGCAGGAGGTGAGTACTGCTGTGAGCTGAAATTGTTTGTTTTGTTTTGTGTTGTGTTGTTTTGTTTACCTTCAGACCAAGCTATATATTTTCTTTTTTAACTTTTAGAGTTTTTTCACAAGTTTTGTTGGAATAAAACTGCTGCAGACTTGACTGGACTTTTATCAAAACGAACCAAAGACAGTTGTCCTGATGCTGTTCTGATGCATCTCAGTAATCCAGGTAGAAAAAATCGAAAAGAAAAAGAAAATAAGTACCGGTAGGTCCTCTGGATGGGTTCTTCTTTAGTGAAATGTTTCATCTCTCCTCCAAGAGACTTCTTCAGTCTGATGAGTTTCAGGTGAACTCAGCCTTATAAGCACTGCCTCCACATGGTGGACAAACAGGTTAGTCATATGCAAAAGAGGGCCATCGCCTAACAATAGGCTTGATTAGTTCTATTGTTCATAGAGGGTCATGTGTCTCATCACCTTATTGGTTTGGATGCTTCAGCTGTGGTTATTTGGTGTTTTGTTATGTGTATGTAGGGAGTGCAAGCGGGGTTCAATGTCCCCTTCTTTTTGTCTTTCTTTCCCCGTTTGTGTTGGGTTTTGTTGGGGCCCTGATACACACCTTTTGCTTGCACTCTCTACATACACATAACAAGACACCAAAAAACCACAGCCGAAGCATCCAAACCAATAAGGTGATGAGACACATGACCCTCTATGACCAATAGAGCTAATCAAGCCTATTGTTAGGCAATGGCCCTCTTTTGCATTTGACTAACCTGTTTGTCCACCATGTGGAGGCAGGGCTTATAAGGCTGAGTTCACCTGAAACTCATCAGACTGAAGAAGTTTCTTGGAGGAGAGACGAAATGTTTCACTAAAGAAAGAAGAACCCATCCAGAGGACCTACTTAATATTTTTCTTTATGACTTACAAGTAACTCTTTAACCTAAGAGACAAAGCTGTGCAGGAGGTGAGTACTGCTGTGAGCTGAAATAGTTTTTTTATACCTTCAGACCAGGCTATATATTTTATTTTTTAACTTTTAGAGTTGTTTCATAAGTTTTGTTGGAATAAAACTGCTGTAGACTTGACTGGACTTTTATCAAAAGGAACCGAAGTGAAACAATCAAGACAGTTGACAACATCAAGATATGTGATGTACTCTGTACAGATTGTAAAATGTGCTTTTTATCAGTRAGGACTGAAGAGAAACCATCAAGAACTGCTGGCAAAATCAAGATACTGGATTTTTACTACACAGCTTTTGGCAGCCTGGAAGTAGCATGACTTTTRCCACATTGGTAAAGGAAAGACTTGATCATTATTGATTTGTTGGCTTGAATTGGATGGAAATTAAAGAAAGGGAACTCTGAAAAGAAGCTCAGATTCCCCGAGACGAAACATGTCAAACTCTCAGGAACAGAGTCTGAATGAGAATGCAGTTTTCCTGCCGGTGGAGGAAGCCTCACCCGAGTTCCTGCACTGCGAGTGGGAGCGTGAAGCGGTGGAGATGCTCCTCAGCGGAGGGCCGGAAGCCTTCTACAGCTCCGTCAGCTCAGAGCACGCCGCCTGCTTCTTATCTCCTGAGGAGGTGAGCCAGATAAGAAGCTGGGCTCAAAACTACCACGTCAAAGAGCTGCAGGTGGAGGAGCAGAACGGAGTGGAAAACAGTTTTGAGACGGAGGACTTCTGTTCCACCTACTCCCCGTGCCACTCAGACGCACCAATCCCAAACCTGGAGCTCGGCTGGCCGGAGATGCCCCCCACWGAGAAGATGGTGGAGGTGGCGGTCCACACAAGTCCTCCTCTTGAAGGAGAACCGCCGGTCAGAGAGATCATCAGACGGTACCTGCAGAATGCCACACAAGTACGCACACAAAAACACACATTTTTTTTGTTATAAAGAAGTAAAGACAAAGTAGGATCTTTAATTAATAAAGTTCCTTACAAATTAAAATAAACCAGATGTTAAATTTCAGAATATATTTTATTTTATGCAATGAAAAATCCCCAATTAATTCTGCTGCTATAAAACCACATAAATTTTAATTTTTTTTACATCTAGTTAGAGAGACAATGAACAAACTTCTCTTCAAAGCTTCCTCCATTAATGACAAAAAAAATAACATGCAAACCTAACCTTATCCAGTTTGGGCTTTGCAGCCTCAACCTTTCTGACACAAAAAGCTTGTAATGAAAGAAAAATCTAAAGATTCAAACAATGTTGTTTTGCTTGTTGTGTGTCATGGTGAAAAAATAAAAAGTGGAACAATAAAGTGTGCTCAAACAGGGAGCAACCTCCTTCAACAAATGAGAGAACTTCAAGCAGAAACACAAACATTCCTCTGCTCAGAATGAACACTTTGAAAAGTTATTTTTGAGTAAAACCTGCACAACATCTCAATAAAGTGAGAAAAAATAATGTTTTTTGATACAAAAAAGTTTTTTGTGTGTGTGTTTTGCAGGCAATTGGCATTGTTACAGACAAACTAACAGACAATGCCATAATTGGTGATTTACACACGGCTGCTTCCCGAGGCGTCCCCGTCTACATCGTCCTAAACCAAAGGTCTCTTCAGGAGAATTTCACCCTCAACAAGCTCAGGCATCCGGTGAGTCAACACCTGCACAGTGGCTGCAGCGCACCACGTGGACGTCTTTTGATAATGTGAACTTTAGGACTCATTAAAAACTGACACTGCATTGGYTGTCCACACAGACACTTGCAAACTGTCTTCTGCTGTTTTGGCACACTTGCGTTGGGAATGTAAAGTGTTGATTTTAGCCACACAAGGCTGAACTGGTTACACAGCATTCAGGCCTGTCTGTTTCATTTAAGTGATGACAGTCTTGTCTGATTTTGACTTGAAAATGAGAAAGAAAATTATGAATGGCAACGAGAAGTGATAATTAGAAGTGTTAGTGGAAAATCAGTGTTTTGTCTTGAGTTATTGTTGCAATAATATCTGATGAGCTAAATTATCCAGGCTTCTGCTGCTGATGTACTGACATGCACATATTTTTTTTTACCTTCTCCCAAGACAAATTAAACTTTAAAGGTCACATGTCGTAAAATCCACTTTTAGTCGCTACATTTTGTTGTGTACTTGGAGTCTCTAAGAGTGCAGAAAATGTGAATTTAGTCTCTCCTGGTGCTGCAAAGATATTTTTATATTCTGTTTGAGTCATATTTTCCAATCCATTCAGTTTTCTTTATTTTCTATGATGTTTTCTGAAAAATTACATCAAATTATTTGTGGTGGAACTGCCAAATAAGTTAAGCAACTACAATTTCCTCCTCTTAATTCTCCCCTGGTTCTGGGTCAGACATGTAAGACTATACAGTCATGACAGCCTGCCCCTTCCAATATGGCGTCAYGCTTGTACAAAAATAATCTATCTCCTGAAGATTCTGCGATGCCTCAAATCAGTTTTAGTCAAAACATCTTGCTCARTCTGTTAGTGCTCGGGATAAGGGATGGGGATCAGCAACTACCACACTAAGTTTTAGCTCAGCATCTCTAAAACTGACAGAGCAACTTTGTCAAGATAGGCGGCCATCTTGAATTGAGTTGAAACCCAAATAAATTTATGTGCTTTCATTACTTTCTCTGTGTTTTTATGTTGGGGACACAGTGGTGACACCAGTAAGATTTTTTTATTGTTATTTTACGTCCACTTCATAACTTGAACAATAATAAAAGTAGTTGGATCATTTGTAACACAGGCAACTGAAAACTGACCGTTAAATTTAAATCTGTGTGCATTTTTTTATTTTTGGGATTTTTTTTTCTGCTCTCGACTATAAGAGCAGTGTTATGTCTTCTTCCCCTTTTCCAAAAGCAAACTTGTTTTACTGGATTTTAGTCAAACAAGAAACTTTGACAGGTCGTAGTTTTCGATTTCTCTTCTCTCGAAACACACGAGTGAATCCAGGAGTGTGCTTTGGGTCRTTCAGATTCTTGAAAAGTCTTCCTCCACGTTTCTTCAGAATTCTGTTCTGCTTTTCCACTCACTCAAACAGTTATTATGCAATCCATCAAAGCCACCTTTCAGCTTTTTCTGCACTCAGATAACATCAGACTTCTTCACGTCTGGGGATGTGGTCAACTCGTTCAGATTCTCAGCAAACAGACTTGTTGTTTCTTAAGTAAAGTTAGTTTGCAGTGTTGCTCTGAACGGCAACTTGACATTTCTGTTTTTCGACAGCTTTCTGGGTTGTGTGGTCTCCTGTTTACATGATTTTTTTGTTCCCTAATTATTTCTAAGTAACAATCAAACAAAAAATATTAACCAAGAAACCTCAATAATACAACATTTTAGTCACATCCATCTTCCGTAAAGGATGTTTCTTTTCAGATCAGAAACAATCTGTAAAGGAAATGAAAACTTTTAATACAGCGTCACATGTTCTTGTAGAGCCTGATACCCTCAGATGTTACACACCAGTTCATTTCCAAGAAACCTGTCAGCATTTCATCACAGATAAAAACTCATTGTTAAAAGAAAAAGTTCAGTTTAACCTTTTTTTTTTTTAAATCTGACAGAACATGCGGGTCCGAGTTCTCAGAGGGAAAACTTTTTGCTCGAGAAATGGACGTATGGTGGTTGGGGAAATGAAGGTCAACTTCCTTCTGGTGGATCTAAAGACAGTGATCCATGGCAGCTACAGGTAAACAAACTTAAACTCTCCTACATGGACACAGTGTCCAGAGTGACCTAACAGGGTTTTGCTGAACTCTGCAGCCTCACATGGACAGACGCCCACCTGCACCAGCAGCTTGTCACGGTTCTGAGAGGACCAGTCGTTGACTCCTTTGACCGGGAGTTCAGGATCCTTTATGCTGCTTCGGCCCCGGCCCCTGACACTCTCAGAGTCACACCTAATGGCCAGATTTCCGTGCCTTACCACCAGCCTCAAGACTTTTCAGACATCAGGTTTTTAAAATGGGTCACAGTGGAGCCTGACATAACAAACCCTCCATCACCACCTACAGATGTCCTCCTGGACTGGGAAGCAATGGGTGTTGTTCATAGAGACAACTGCAGCTCTAAAACTCATTTTGTTTTGAATGAGGAAATAGAGACTGAGAATACGCCACAGCAGAACAATAACATAGACAGAGAGGTTGTGGAAAGATTAACCTACAACGGGCACCTATTTGAAGACGAGCAAAGGTAATGAAACCGCATTATTGAGTTCTTAAAGGTGCATTAAATATTTAGATTTTTTTTCTTTAGTTAAGATTTTTTGAGGTTCTGTGAAAAACGCAGTTAAYATCTAACCTGTTCTAGATGGAAATACAGTTAATGTTTAACTATTGGTTGAAGAGCAGSCAGCTAATCTGAATGTGGAACAAAACCAGAGTAGATTGCTTTTTATGATGCATTTTATTGCAATCTTCTTCAATTTCACAGAATTAATGGGAACACTTTTGAGACTAAAGCCAGACTAGAAGATAATTTACCAACTTCTACGTGAGTCTTTTTACAGCACGCGCTCATGATGCTAATTAATTGAAGATAATATTTCTTGTTTTGTGAAATGTACAYAAACTGTTTGTGTTATTTTAATAGTGATTCAGAGTCGTCATCAAACACATCATCTGCTGAAAGGATAATAAGGTATTTAACCCTAAAATACAGAGAATGCAATCATTTGCAAATCTAGTAAATCCATATTTCATTTACAACAGAACAAATGTATCGAAGGATTAAATTAGGAAAATATGTTTTAAAAGAGGCCGTTTGGAGGCAGTAACACATTTCAAAAAAACTGAATCATGTTTACACTGATGCATCCTCTCTTCTTTTAACATCAGTCTGTAAATGTGTAATTTTGTCCTGTTTTGTCTGATGTCATGGGTTTTATTTACCCAATTTTTGTAAATACTGTATAAAGTCATATCCTTTCCTGCGTTAATGTCACCTGTAAGCTGTCCATGCCAGACACCAATGCACCCTCATACCATCAGAGAGGTGGCCGTTTGAAACGTTCACTCATCCAAATAGTCCATCTCCTCTTTAAAGTGGAGGGTGGGGAATTCATGGCTTACAAAAAAAATAATAAACTAAAAAAAAGTTCAGRTTTCATTTTATCTGACTACAGAGTAGTTTCCACTTAAAACAGCAGCATTCATGGCTCGGTGAGCTGTGTTCACAGACAATCATTYATGGAAGTGTTCCTGATGCCATGCAATGATGTTTTTCACAAAATCAAACCTGTTTTTACTCCAAGGCACAAAGATTTCTTTAGATCCTTGAAATCATGATGATATTATGGGCTGTAAATGGTGGGACATTCAGAGTCCTCCCAATTTTCAGTTAAGGAAGATTATTCYAAAGCTGTCCCACTATTTTTGAGTACAGTTTTTTGTAGACTAGTGAACCCTTGCCCATCGTTACTGCTTCTTTAATCTGTTGCCATCTAATTATGAAATGCTCCTCCAGCTGTGCACTAGTGATAGTTACTTTTACAGATTTTTGTTGCTCCTTTTTAGTCATTCTTAAATGTGTTGCTGCCATAAAACTTCAAATTCCCTTGTTTCTTCTTTCAAAAAAAGTGCAACATTTTAGATTTAAAGTGTATTCTCATGCAAAATCCACTTTTCTAGCTGTTGAATTTTTTACTTGTTTACTGTTACTTAACCAGGCAATTCCCGTTGCGATCTCAGATCTCTTTTTCAAGGGAGGCCTGGGCCTGAAAGCAAACTATTGTACATGTTTTTGGGGGTGGGGGAAACTGGACAAAACCCACACAAGCATGAGGAGAACATGCAAACTCCGCACAGAAAGACCCCATGTCTAAACCGGGGATCAAACCCAGGACCTTCTTGCTGTGAGACGTCGGTTCTAACCACTGAGCCATTGTGCCGCCAAACGTTTTGTTGTGTACTTAGAGTCTCTAGGAGTACAGAAAATATGAATTTAATCTCTCCTGGTGCTGCAAAGATACCTTTAAATTCAGTTTGTGTCATATTTTTCAGCCTGTTCAGTTTTCTCTATTKTCTATGACATTTTCTCAGTCTAGTATGTCAAATTATCTGCAATGGAATTGCCAACTAAGGTCTGGACTTACCAACTACAATTTCCTCCTCTTAATTCTCCTCTGGTTCTGGGTCAGATTCTGGCTCTAACATGTAAAGCAAGATGAACAAGACTTCTGTTGTTGACATTTTTTTATTAAATAATACACAAAATGTTTCTGCAAGCTAAAGAACGTAGCCGCCACCCCCCCCCCCCCCACACACACACACACACACACACACACCTCTCAAACCGGAGTGGACCGGTCTGGAAGCCGGATGGGGGCGGGGCTTGAATAAGGGAACAGTAACAAAATCAGCTGCTTTGAGGCACGCACCAGAAAAGGGATGAAAGAGGGACTGGTAAAGTTAGAATAAGAAGGAATTCAGACCAAAGCATTGCAGTTCCACTTTATAAAGAAAATGAATGATATAAATGTGAAAAGGAAGGATTTAAAAGTATGATATACCTACTTTAAAAACAAATTTTTCCTATTTCCTACTGTGAAAAAAATAAGATTTGCCAATCATTGCTTGTTCACAACTGTTTTGGAACTGGAGCTGTAAAAGACAAACATTATTAAATTGTTATATCCACAATGAATATCTGTTTCTCCTACAGGATGGAGAGGAAAGTAGAAAAACGAATTTCCAAGGAACTCTCTGAAGATAAAGACTCTGATCTATCTGAGGGAACTAGAACAACAGTTGATAAAACACTGGAGATGGTTGCTTCAGCTGAGAGGAGACAGTTTTTAAAGTCGGACAAATTTTTGGAAGAGGAGAATTTAAATGACGCAGCTCCTGAGGAGAGCACRTCATCTTCGAGAGTGAGTGATGAATGCCTACTGCCAAAGCAGAGTGCTAAACGGTTGTAGAAACTGAAATAACTTSTCTCTTTTTCTTGTTTGTTTGTCCAGAAACCTGTAATCTTGAAGGTGTCGCAGTCTGACGGTCTCAGCTCTCTGAGCGCCATCATGACGAGGATCAAACGGAGAACGTCAGGCATGCTCAGGAGAGGTGTGAAATCCACAATGTCAGACCGAGCCCAGTCCATGATGGACCTGAGCGAGTTCAGCGAAGAAAAAGGAGTGCCAGCWCCAAGGTTCCCAGGCAATGTGAGTGTGGGCGCTAGACAAATGTTCCACTCTTTACTGAGTAGCAGAAAATAGTTTTTTCTTCTGTGTAAAACTTATTTTGCTAATTTCCAGCCTTTGTCCTTGTGGTTAGAACAAATACAAAAAAATTAATTAGTGTCTGAAGCAAAAAGTAGAGCAAAAATATATGCAAATAAGAATAAACAAGCATTAATACTGTATATGAAGACGAAGATAAGTTGAGAGTAAAAAAAGAATAAACTGGTGTGTGTTTATAGATTTGTTTTTTGCCAAAGTTGTTTCTGAGAGTCAAAATTTCAGAAACCATCTTTACCCCTGCTTTATAAAAGCTGCAGTATGATTGATTGACCTTATTAAATACTCAGTATCACATAAAGAAAGAGATAATGTGTCCTTGTAATTAACTCCATGTGGTTTAGAGAGTGCCATTATCTCAAAATGAATCGTTTTCATCCATTGTTCCTTTTGTTGTGCAGCTCGATCAGGATCATATGACGCCTGCGTTAGCACTGATGAAGAAGAGGAACAATGACGTGAAATCTTCCATGAACAGACCTCTCAAAAACTTCAGGCATTTAGAAAGAACCCACAGCTCCAATGACATCGATGAAATTCTTCCGTGGAGATCTCGATATAACAAGGAAGAGGAGCAGAACTGACAAGAGAGAGGGAGAGAAAGAAAGAGAGAGATATCCTGCGTCACTGAGGAAGAACAGCATGCGACTGCTGCAGTGTTAATTATTGAAACTATAATTAAAGATAATTAGAATAAAACTTTAAAGACTGAAAGCAGACAGATGCTTCATATCTTTTAATACTGTACATAAAATAAATCATTGCTGCTAATAAATAGGATTTTTTCTGGTTTATTTGTTGGCCAAGTTGTATTATTTTACGTGGTTAGTTTAAAAATACATTTTAAATGTGACATTATTATAGGTACTCTCCCCTCTTCATTATTAGCCTTGGTCCCACGGCATGAAACCACCCCCATGCTTGACATTTGGTACAGTTTTTATGGATTAGAAAGCTTCACTTTGACTCCTCTGAACAAAATTGTCATTTTGTTACCCCAATCTTTGTCTCTATGATCATAAAATCTTTGTTCAGAAGATATTTATTGTTTTTTTTTTTCAATCAGACTTTAAGATGCCAGTTTTAAAGCAGGAGCTTCTTCTTTGATTGACACCGTGTCAGTCTGTGGTGATGAAAAACTCTGGTTCCCGGGCTGTTCCTGAATATCCTAACAGATTTTGAAATCTAAAGTGACAAATGAGCATCAATCAGTCCAATAAATATCATCAAATAAATCATTTTTAGAATGACATAGACAAACTGTCATCTGCAGTCAATTACAACTAACAAGTTGAGCCTCCCTTGTCCAGTTAAAAGGTGGTGCTTTTAGAAAATTCACAATAAAATCAAGCTTGTGCACCCACTTTGTGTTTTTGTATATTCTATAAGTATTTAACCCTGGGGAAATGGTTTAAATAACTTTTTTAAAGTCCAACATTAATTTGCTATTCCTGCCCATGATAAGTAAACTTCTACAACAGCAACCCTGCAACGATGCCGGTTCAAGTCCAGTAGATGGCGCTGCGGGACTGAAAGATTTGGTGAGACGATTTAAACAACGAAGAAGAAAATCCGGAAGCACGTGGTAGTTAATGTAAGAACTTTAATAACATCCAACACGACCGAACATTTAAGTTAGTTTTACTTTAAAACCGCTGCTAATAATTTCGGGTGGAATAATATCTCACTGTGTTGTTTTCTACCTTTTAGCAAATCGGCTAAGTTCATCATGGTTCGAACACAACGGTGAGTTTTAAGAAACCGGCATGCATGCTTCCCTCTGCATTATTATAGTATTTTTACTTGTTTTCTTAAGGTCTCAACCAGCCAGATAAGTCTACATCATGCAGACATGAGTTTGGATAAATAAAATTGGACTAATAACATGTAAAACAGTCTTATGCAGCACATCACAAATTGAATCACATTTTCTTCTGTGTTTAGGAAGAAAAAATTCAAGAGGACTAAAAAGGAGACCCGATATGACGAGGATGATCCTGAAGCATACAAGGACATGCCAGTCCCTGATAAGGTGACAAACACCGTTTTACTTTTAGAAGCTATCATTGGTACAAATATCAATTTAGCGAGGCTTAAATTATCATTAATGGTAACTTGGAAGTAAATTAAGGCAAGGCACGTTTCTTTTATGTAGCACATTTCAGTAACAAGACAATTCAAAGTGCTTTACATGATAAAAACTCATAAAATAAGGGCATTACAGTGAAATGATGAAGGGAAGGGCAAAACAGTTGGACCGTAGACTGAAATCCAATTAATATTTTAAATAGAAGAGTCAAAGAAAAATCTCAACAAATTTAGTTTTAACCTGGATTTAAAAGAACTCAGGATTTCTGCATTTTTACAGTTTTCTGGGAGTTTGCTCCAGATTAGTAGAGCATAAAAACTGAATGCTGACTAATTAATGCTTTTGGGTTTATGTGAAATGACACAAAATTAATATAAATATGAAAATTAACAAAAACAATGTGTTTTATTTTCTATTAACCTATTAGAAACTTGTATCACTTTTGTCTATTTAATCCTATTGATGGTGATGATGATGATAATGATGATGATGCCTTTATTGCCATTGTACGGAACACAATGAAATTACATTTAAGAACATCCATTTCAAGAAGACACATGCGACAAACATGGGGGAACAGGTGTACAGGTCATGCAGCAAACAGCAGGGGTCGCGCTACCTTTAAAAAGAAATCAAAAAAAAAAAAACAAAGAAGGTTAGATGAGGAAAAAAAATAAAACATCATATTATATCAACAAAAGGTGACGAGTACATTTATTACCCAGAGGAGTAAGTGAGTTTAGAGGTCGTGTATTTGAAGCCATGAGTGTTGTATGCACTTGTGTGAATATCTGAAGAATGAGTCCGAAGAATCCAGTCCCCAAAAAGATTAACCCCATAGTTCAGCCATTGTCCAGAATATTGGTGTTGAATTGTTCATTTCGTACAGATTCAGCTTGTCCTTCAAGAGATCAGATTAGACGGGAGTGTGAGCGGGGAGAGGAGGTGGGTGGGGGGAGCCACGTCGACGTAAACACCAGGAGGAGTTTAGTTCCACAGCCTACTCAAGGTCACATGGGGGGAGAGCCTAATCTGTAATCAGCTGTTTGGGAACAGAAGAAAATGTTTTTGGGTCAGGCAGACGATAACAATTTTCCATCTGCTTTAATGTCCGTTGGTACATCCAATGTGGTGAATCCAATTAGACCAATAATGTGGACAATCCTGCCGAGCCGTGCTATCAGCTTCTCCGAGATCAATTCCATCTATTTAACTCAGATTACGTTTAGATCCAGTTATGTACAGTTCTGCCATATAAACACAAAACATTTTGTTCCATCTAGTATTGTAACACTGATAAAGTTTCTCCCTCTTAAACCTGCTGCCATCATGACTGCTCTGCTTTGCATCAAATTTCCAACCACACCGTTTCCCTTACAGAAGTCGTCAGAGTTCACAAAGGACAAGATTGACGAGTTCCACAATGAGAAGATCGCTGTAAGTTCATAACTTGTGCTGCTCCGTGTTCGTTAGCTCTGCTGCTGTTGAGTCCTCTTAACGAGTTCTCACGTGTTGCCGCAGAAACTTCTCGCCCGTGGAGTTCAAATGGAGAGTGATGAAGAGGAGCCGGACGATGAGGTTTGTTTTGATTTTACCTCAGAAAATTGAAATGCTTTCAGATCAAACTGAACTTTGTCTTAATTTCACAGGAAGAGGTGATGCCTCTCGACGAGTCAGAAACAGAGGAGGAAGAAGAAGAAGAAGAAGAGGGGACAGATATGGAAAGTGACTTGGAACAGAAAAAAGATGAAGGTGATGATATCAAGGTTTTTAAAGTTTTTTTTTTACTGTTGAGCTCAAGTGTTAAACTGATTTGTTACAACTCTCAGATCTTCCCAATGAGMTGGCGTGGGGCACCAAGAAGAAAATGTTTTATGACTCAGATTATGTAGCCACCAGTAAGTATATTTTATCTCCAGCCTTATATATTTTTTTGAAAGTGGGTATATTGTATGCTTATTAAAAAGTTGTAATTGGGTTTTTGCAGAAGGTAAATCACGCGAAGAGCTGGAGGCCGAGGAGCAGGAGGAAGAAGAAGAGGCAAAAAATATCCAGAAACGTTTAGCTGCAAATCTGAGTGAAGAAGACTACGATTTAAACTTTTTTCAGGTAGTTTTTCAATCAGTCTCTCTGGCGTGCGTGCAGTTAAATCCACATATGATGTTTTTTTTTTTTTTTGTGTGTGTGTATGTGACTGTTTCCCTGAAGGAGTTTGCAGTAGAGGAGAAGGATGAAAGCAAGCCTGCAGAGAAACAAGAGAGGATTGTTAAAGACTTAAAGCAAATGTCCAAGAAAGAAAAAATCAAGCTTTTGAAAAAGGAGTCACCAGAGCTGCTTGAACTTATTCAGGACTTTAAAGCAAAGGTAAGCCCAAAAAAAACCTGAAACAACTGGAAACAGAATCAACTTTTGTTTTGATACCAACAGTGTGTTTTTTGTTTTGTGTTGTGTGAAGCTCCGTGAGCTGAAAAAGGAGCTGCAGCCCCTCATGGAGCTGGTCAGGAATGGAAAGATCCCACCAGGAAAGGTGAGAGCGTGAAGCTAAGWGCATGGAGTTAAGTTTTAACATTGTTTTCAGAGTCAACAAAGCAACTGCTTAAAGGAAGAAAAACTTTAAAAACATTATTATATATTTGCTAAAGCCAAACTGACCCACTGTAACCCTAACCACACACCGRTGACAGGGATTGATAGCTCGCAGCTGTGCCACAGAGTCCCAGTGTTTACCGATGAAATAGTACAGGCATAGTACTCGTTAAGTACTGGTTGCATGCCTGACTTGCTTGAGCGTGTGCATGTGGAGCGTGTGTGGCTTGGTGTGTGTAGTTAAAGAAGAAATGTTTTGTCACTTTAAACCTGTTTTGTTACATTGGTCGAGCACGTTTAAAGCTAAAAATGTTGTGTTTTTGTTTTCCGAAGGGTGCAGACTATCTCAGGACAAAACAGCAACTTTATCTCAAGTAAGTTGAGTTTAAACTATAGCTAAATGTGTCTAAAATAACTAACACTTCTCTCCTGCCACAGTTACTGCACAAACATCAGTTTTTACTTGGTCCTAAAAGCCAAACGAATCCCTGCACATAACCACCCTGTGATTGAACGGCTGTTATCCTACAGAAACGTAAGTTTGCGTGCTGACAGTGTTGAGTGATATTTCACCCGGAGAAGATGGTGGCTGAGAAGATTTGATTTTTATCCGATAAAAGCAGAAAACTGTGTGACAAATCTAATAAAACAGTAATGACTTTGATGATTAGCTGTTGGCAATTGATTACAATCCTGTGAATTAAACTCCTGCAAATTTTAAAGTTTGATTTTCTTAGAACATACTGGTATATTTTTGTTTGTTTTGTTTTGTTTTTACACTTTTCATACAAACATCAGACTTCTCTGTCATATTAATTCACAAACTACACTATTATGACATCACTAAACCAAAATGATGGGATACATGAACACAAATTTAGAAAAAATWAAAAAAATCACAAAGTCTTATTATCTGCCTGCAGCTCATCAATGAACTTGGGACAGTTGATGCTCGGTTAGCTCCAGAGTTTCGCAAACTACTAGCTGTCAACGACAAAGGGAAAACTACCAGCAAAACATCAGATGGAAAGAAAACCAAATTATTCAGTAAAAAAGATAAGGTAATTTTATTTATTTATTGTTTTGTTTGTTTGTTTCAAACAAGCACTTACACAAGTAGTAGTCCCAAAAGACATAGTTGGACTGAGATTGCTATTGATTGTAAAACCTAAATGCCAACGTGCTGATTGGATGTTGCAGAACTCCGGAGAAACTCTGTCCGATGATGAAGACTCCGAGTCTGAACTGGATGAAGAAGCTGCTTTGAGTTTCTACAGAGAAGTGGAGGAACGGGCAAAGTTAAAGAGGAAGAGAAAAGAACCAGAAGCTGAGGAGTAAGTATGACCTGCGCCTGCAGTTGGCAGCTGTGGTTGAATGAAATGAGGATTTAATGTTTAATAGGGCTGCAACAACAAATCAATGAAATCTATAAAAATCGATTATTAAAAGCGTTGGCAATGAATTTCATTATCGATTCGTTGTGTCGCGCGATTTATGCATTCCTCGCCATATCGGAGCAGTTTACGTCACCCGCAGAGCATTTTTAATGCTGGCTGACCTAAATAAAGTTTGGGGGGGGGGGAGACGACTACCTGTAAAGATCCGCCCTCTTTGAGACCCTCGAGTGAAAAGCAGAGACTTCGAACTTTAAACCAGTTTTTAAATTGTGTTGTTAGGCCAAGTAGATCCGAAGTTATGATAAAAAGTATATGCCACATTTAATTTTTTTAAATGACGGTCTGATTTGATGCGATTCACGCCACGAGGAGGAAGCCCGTCCCGTGAGGAAAAAAAAGAAAAGTACCTCAGCCCACAATTTGTTTCCTTCTCTCGGGCCAGAAATATAAAACCCTCCAGTCTTTTATTCTGACCRAGGCTCAAAGTTGTTTGATAAGCAGCAAAAAGGCTCAGGGCCAGGGGTGGGGGGACGTGAGCAGAACTCCTGGTCTGACTTAGTAGGGATTGGGAGGCTGCTTCAGAACCTCTTACTGGGTCGTTTTAGCCACAGACAGAACCCACAAGAAGGAAGCAAAACGCAAAGAATCAGAGAAAAATCACAAATTCTAAATGCATATAAATTCTAATTATAATAATAAATTATTAATAGTTTTACATCTAATAATCATATTTTATTCTTTTCATCTGTTTTCTTCATTCAGCAACCTATTAAATTTCTGTTTTGTTATGTTTTATAGCTAAAACCAAGTTTATTAATGCATAAGAAATCCACATTTTTGGGTTTATTTTTTTCAGTCAGTGTTTAATATAGCTGGTAAAATCAATTGTGAAAATTTTTATGATGTGCCTCTTTTTTATTTAGCATATTATTTTAAAAAATCCTTAATTTCATGAAAAGACCCTCTTGATTCAATAGAAAACTCCAGTTTTTAAGAAAATGGCTGCTTATTAATTAATTGTTAGTCAATCTATAAGAT